CCTGTCACATGACCACATGACACTAACTGTGCACAGCATGTCTCGTGCTGGGTGCAGGCTGCCGTTTATCAGACAGAAGAAGAGATGGTAAGAAAAAGAGAGGTTTATTTTCATTGGATTCTGAACTGTTGAATCGCATTCCTTACATAAATATTATCCTGTCATTCATACAATGTGTACATACGCAGTTATTTGAACAACCAATCACAGCTGTTCTTTCTTTTATTTGACCTTTAATGGCATCCTCTCCCACATTAAAAAAAATCCACAATTTGTGTCAATATGCCATAGATATAAAGTTCACCTACTGGGAGACAGAATGTCTCCTGCTTCACTGGAAAGTCAAAAAGTTCTCAGAGTATGTGGCTGAGAGGCTGGAGCTAGATTTGCACATTAGACAATGTGTGTGTCCAAAATTGTCTGCTTGCCTGCTACATAGTAGGCTGAAATGTTTATGTCAGACAAGTAGTGTGTCTGAATTCTTAGACTGGAACTATATGTGTGTTAGGGTGATTTTTATTTTGGAACTCGCCCCACATGTGTTCGAAAAGTACCTGCATGACCTACATGACTTCATAGTATGGAAGCAATGATACTACACTAGTCCATCATCTGATCTTAAACTGGTTTGATGTTTTGATGGCCTTATTTCTGATTGAATCCATGATCCATTTCCATCGACTCTGTTGTTCGTCGTGTGCTTGATACACATGATGGTACGTAACAAGTAATACAACTCATTTTAAGCTCTTTTTGACGATTTTTCTATGCGAATGAGTGTTAACGTCACTTGTCACTGCTGTAACAATTAATACAACCCATTTTAAGCTCTTTTTGACAATTTGTCTATGCAAATGAGTGTTAACGTCACTTGTCACTGCTTGTAGCGATAGCATGCAGCATGTCGTCCCCACTTTTGACCCACAATGCACCATGGTAAACATTGGGTTATGTCATTCAGCCTTAGGTCCATTAAATGTGCCCACCTGTGGTAAAGTGAAGCCACAAAACAAATGAGCACAGAGGAACTTTCTCCCTTCAAAAATTAAATGTGAATCCAGTCTTCCTCTTCTCTGCACACACACGAGGCTGAAGGATCCAAGTCAATAAAGAAAACAAACAAAATGCATTAAAACTACAAATTGTGGCCTTGATTGAATACTAAAAAGGTCAACGGCAGGTTGAAACACAACTTTCAAAGTGTTTACTGTAATTAACATTTAACTGGCACGTGATCTTTCCGTAAACATAATCATTGTGTCTTTGTTTCCTAAACATGAACGAGACAATATATGAAGCCTGGTCTTCGCTGTCAGAAGCCTGGTCTGGGTACACCTACTGTACCACACACCTTGACCCACCTTGTCATTTTGTGTATGAGACACAAAAGCTACTTGACTTTCATATTTCCTTTTAAAGAAACACAGCACTAGTGCACTCGCACCGACCAGCTTCATCTCTTCTCCAGCAGCGGCAGAACCTTTTCTGTGTTGCAAAGGAAAGCACCTGTTGAGAAGAGTAAGGTAATGATTTGAATATTGAAACAGACATGTTAATGCTGAGACAGGAGAAATGTATGATAGGAAAAGGAACCAGCACAATAACTGAGTCTTGTTTACCTATATTCAAATAACATGGAAGGGGCAACAAGTTATTTCCCACGTGGTTTGTTTTATAGACTAAACTCCGTTTGTCTTTTGTATGGCCATGTTAGCTTTGTTCACCAAATCTAATACAAATATTTTAAACTGTTTGGTTCTGTTTGATTTTTTTTTCTGTTCTGTGTTCCAGATGTTTGGTTTCAGGTCTATTTCAGCTGTGTTTCACTCACTTGACCAGTTGATTCAGTTTGTCTAGGGGCAGCGTGTTAACAGTTAGCATTGACCCCCACCCTACACAGCCTTTAAATCCACATCTTATCTTCCGACCTTGACAGGAAGGTCATGTCTTTTTTCAAACACCGTCTTATTACCACTTTTACAATGGCTATAAAAGCCTCCTCAAAGAAAGAAAGAAAGAAAGAAAAAGTCCTGTCGGTTCATTGCAGTTTTGTTGTCATCAAAAAGAAATTCATTTTGTGTGCAAAGAATTGAAAACACTCCTGAGAAACACTACTGTTCATTAAACAGTAAAAGCAGTTGCTGATTAAGAAACGACAAATTTCATTGTACAATTTCAAAATGAAAAACGTAATGAAACTGTTTCCTATTGCTCTTAATGTTTTCCTCTGTTTTGTCAGTGGGAGAGGACTTTTTTTCTTTGTTTTGTAAGGTTCAGATTCCCCTCAAATCTTTATCTATTCACAACAATGTGCAGTGTCCACGTGTTACCGACACAGCAGCAGGGTGACGATAAGGACGGCGTCTGGTTTTGCTTCTTCAAATGTAAAATATCTCATAATGTATAAGAAACTTACAGTATGATAAAGGTTTTTAAACTGTTGTGTGTTCAGTTGGATTGTATCTCACCAGTCTGCCACATTCAAAGGTTAAACTTCATTTAATGAGTGGGGTGAACGCTGAGGTTCTGTCATCCATTCTAAGTCAGAACAGCTCATGTTTAGATGCTTTGAAGTCGTCTGAAAAGGAAAACTAAGCATTTTAAGTTGAATTACCTTGAACATGTGAAACTTAGATACAGACAGTGACAATTAACTAATTATTCTGGTTGTAATGAGTCATTCCAACTGACTGCAGCGCCAGTGTTTTGTTGTCCAGTTGGCTGAAACCAGCCTGTTTTCCTGGATTAGCAAATGAAATAATTTTGCTCAGTTTTGATCCAGTTTATGTCGGAGATAACTCTGCAGTCTATGTAGAATTTTAGTGATAAGCTGTTAAAATGTACGCCATCAACACAACTAGTGGGGAGATTGTTCAACTATTAACATGAAATTTCACATATAACTCACGGTTATGTGTGTCGATTATGTCACGGTGATGCAATAGATGCTGAAACATTAGCACTGTTACTGGGGAAAAACATTCCTCTGTATAATTTCAGTGTTACTGCAGACAAACAACATTAGACATATGTATGCATGTCACTAAAATGTAAACCTCCTTATTTGACACTGTGTTGCTGCAATGCCACTGAAAACCATGGGCTCTTTGGGCTCTATGCTCCACACACATTAGCTCTGGAGCTGATTATTACTGCTGCTCTACCTGTCTGCCACAGCTGGCCACAGCTGTCCTGATGCAGTTTCACAGACAGGGAAGGAGGGAAGAAGAGGAGGAGATACTGCTGGAGGAAAATTATAGGGAGAAATGAAGTTAATGCAGACTTTAAGCTGAAGGCCTGTTGCACGGGGTAAAACACTGATATAAAGGACAAAATATAAATAGTTTATTGTAAAATAAAACATGAGCTTGCTATTTGCTGGATTACAACGTGCATGTTAGCCCTTTCCTTACAGCACGGACTCTGCCCCATCACATGCACAACAGAGCCGGTTGAGATATCAACCAACCACCGTGCTCGTGAAGTGGATCGGGGGGCGGGGGCTCATACTTTAATGCTGCTCGTAAACTTCCCTTTTACAGTTTGAGAACTGGAAACCGTGAACAGAAAGAGCTCGTTCTTTTGCAGAATGGTGATGAGAAATGCTCATATCGTTACCTGTACGCTGAGTTGTATTGTCTTTAACATTTCTTAAAGCTTTTCTAATAATAGGCTAATAACAACAATGATATTCCATGTAGATGACACTGTACCATTGCTGTTGTCCTACAAGAAAACCTCATGCCTTCAGAATGTAGGTACAGTTCTCAGGATCTAGAAAAACATATTTTACCACCATTTCGGAGTTTATCCAGTGGATTCTGAAATCATCATAGTTTCCATCAACACCCAGGAGCAAAAGCTACCGCTGAACTCAAAAGCAGCTCCAAGTGCACTTGTTATAATCCCCATGTTGTCTTCGGGCCCTGAAGGCGTCTGATACTGCTCTCCTGTTGCTCTGAGAGGAGGGAAGCCGGTGATTTTCCACTGCCGCTGATGCTGTTTTAAGAGACAAAGGTCAGAAAGAGAGGCTTTTAAATCAGGTAAAATATCGGCCACTGACGCGTCGAGCTCTCAGTCGCTCTCACAGACACGGGACGACACGGACAAGAAGACACAGACAAGGGATCACGGTCAAAGGACGTTAAAAGGACAAAATAATCTATTTTCAAAAATCACATCCCCAGAACAGGTAATGACATCCCTGTTTCACACCTATGGAGCAGCAGTGAGAGGGATGACAGTGCTTCTCTTTAATGGTTTTTATTAGAATGATCATTTGAATGTGTTTATTTGTATCTTTATTGTGGATGAATGAGACCATTTGTTCCAGACCAGTAACAACAATCAAGGAGAGTTTGTGCATTTGTGGGTGGAAAAAATCGGCAGTGTTTAGTTGGATTAACTGGTGGGTTTGCTGGTTTAACTGGTGGGTTTGCTGGTGGCAGTGCAGAGACGTGTTACCTGCTGGAGGGAGATGTGGGTTTGGATCAGGTCTGTGCGCTCAGGAAGGATAAGCGGTGGATTTGCACTTTATTAATAGCCTTCATTGTTCAAGGTTGTCCTGATTAACACGTTTATTCGTTTTCCATTGTGTTTGTTTTCAATGTAGGTGCAGAGGATTTTCCACATGCGTGTCTCAATGTTGCGTTTTAGTTCATTGGTATTAATGCTTAGTTTTACAGGCTTGTTTAGGATGCGGAGCGGTCCTGGCTTCGCACGTCCAGGTCCTCGGAGACTCTCATAGATTAGTATGTTGTCCAATAAAAATGTTATTCCGTTAAATAGTCGTGCAGTTTATTTGTGCTTTAATTCGCTGACTTTATTTACTAGAATCCCGACACTGAACTGTGTCAGAAAGGGAAGTGAAGAAACGCAGAGAGCGATGAGAAGAAGGCGGAGATGCTCGTCAGTCGCGCGTTGTGCATCGTGCGCTGCTTCTCCAACCACGAGCCTCCTCTCGCTCTCTCTCGCTCTCTCTGGCAGTCTGGTTCTTCCCCTATGTCTCTCTGCCTCTCACTCTTCCTCTCACTCGGTGTTTCTCTGTCTTGCTTCCTCCTTCCTTCTCCCTCGATTTAAAGTGGTCTTTTCGACAAAGTAAGTTGATTTTGGAATGTTTTCTATACAACAGGGTCGGTGTTGTTGGCACACTGCATGTGACAAGTGCAAACAGAAGTGCAGCAGTTTTTAAAACATCTCTAAATACAGTTTCCGTCCGACTTGGTGCTGGATTTGGTTTCCGTTGTCAGGGCTGATTGAGTTTTTACGCCTGTACGTACTGAAAGCAGGTTTAATGAGAGGTCTTGGAGTAGAGCTGGGTGGTGATCACAGGTAGCTGGTTCCACTTGGGATCAGGTTCAACACTGGAAAATCACCCAGGTGTGTTGTTGACACCCATTGTGGCATGCAGTCATTTCTAACATTCAGATGTTAGATTACAGAAAGGCAAGATGTTTTTTAAACTGGATTTGGAATCAAACCCATACACTCTATGTGTATGGGATGTGGGTTATTTATTTATTATTCTGGCTTTTTTTCTTCTTTTTTTTACAGGTGCATTGAATTTCTAGCTTCAGTCTTTTGCTCAGAATTGTACTTTTTGTCAGGATGGAGAACAGTGTGAAACAACAAAACTCTGTTGTGGTTGGTTAGCAGATCTTAATAAATAAATGCCAACCACGCTCAGGTCAGAAAAATGTAACGGGTGGCAGTAAATGTTCTGAAACAAGCCGTGACATTGAATTCCGGGGGCTGTTTCACTTTGCTGGTTGGAAGCTTATGTACTGGGCAGTACAACATAAATGTGCAATAACTACCCCCCCCTTACCTGTACAATGCCAGGAGAAAATATATATATATATGGCTTCTTCTTCTCTGCATCCTTGATGTTTGTGCTGAGTGACAATAAAAGCAATCCCAAATCTTCAGTCTTGAAGCTCTGTTGTTTTTGAATGACACTGGCTGATAAGTTGGTACCTGAAGCTGTGTGTGTGCGCGTGAGAGAGGCAGCGGTCCTGGTCCTGGGATGAATCTGAACTTGGAGGCTGTAGATTCTCAGCTGATGTGTGGGAACCTTTTGAATCGCTGTGACCACTGCGACAGAGCCTGCACATCCAGAGACGTACCTCAGTGTTAACACTCTCTTTGTGTCCTGTGTGTGTGTGTGTGTGTCTTTTGTGGAGTCAGCATCTGACCTGGTTAAGTTCCTCAGTAAGTGAACTTGCATGTGTGTTTATGCTCTGACACGCCCGAGCAGGTGGATGGGAACTGATCACTGATCAGCTCCTGTGTTGTGTAAACACCTGGAACCACAGTGATGCACTCATAGTCAGTGGTGGAAAGTAACCAAGTATCAGTGCTTTTGTGCTACTTCATTCTTTGACTTCACTACATTTTACAGACAAACACTTTGCTTTTTACTCCACTACATTTACTTTTCAGAACCAGATTAATACATAAATTGTATTGTATAATCATAACATTTATTGATCACTGGTGGAAAATTCACAAGCTTCCCAGTGGTATGTAAAGTACTTCAAATTATACACATCCTGGATATGCTACTTAAAACCAGCTCCCCCTTTACCAGCTGCAATATTAAGTGTGATGTGATGATATCCAGGAATGTGAAATGTGCCATTCTGTATAATGAAAACTTTTAGTACTTCAAGTATGTTTTGATGCTAAAACCTTGTACTTTTACTTAAGTAAACAAGCTGAGTGCTTCTTCCATCACTGCTTACAGTAAATGATCCAGGATATTAAGTAGTGTGTAGTAACTTGTGTGGGGGCTCACTCTGTCCAGCCGTTCAGCCAGTCATTGTTTACGTTTTGTGCCCGTGTCTTCACATCATGATGGATAAAAGCACCACTTGAACACACCGTCTGTTTGCCAGAGGGTGGTTCACAGGAAGACTTTCCAGCTCCATGTTTAGAGTAGCAAATGTAACGGCTTCTGAGGACTGGATAGATTTTATAAAGGTTATGATGTGAATGTATGGATGTGTTATGTCCAGGAGTTTGTAGTTTTTGAGCAACGGTTGTTTGTTTTCCTGTCAAACCAGCAGCGAAGGCTGCTGTGCTGTATTAACTGCAGGCCTGTTTGCTCTTAAATAATTTAATAAGTCAGTAACCTGAGGTCGGTGGGATGTGCGTGTGTGTGCGTTGGTGAAATCTCAGCCGTCCCATAGGAGCGTCCTCACTGAACGACTGGAGCAGAAGTCTATAGTGACACAGTGAATGCAAACATCACCCAGCTGCAGGAGCTGCTGCCAAACTTTTACAATCGCTTGTCTTTGACTTCAGCTGTGGCAGGAACTTCACCTCCTACTATACATATTAACCGGCGTGAACCATTGACACACATACACTTACAGCACAACTCAGTTCAATGTCATTAGAGCCGCCTCATTAATCTTGTATGATTTTGTATAACTGTGTCGTAGCTGCAATTTGAACAACTGCTAATTGTGGTCGGCAGCTTGGAAAGATGTCATTTAGCTCGGCATCTGGAGGTGAAAGCAGTAAAGATGTTGATTTACAGCTGGCACCCACGGGAGGGTCAGACTTTACTTTATTAGAAGGATCGTCACTTATTCTTGTGCTCTGATGCCAAGGGCACATTGGCTTTCATTGTCAGGATGATGGAAGCCAGTCATGGATGCAGGGGGAATGACACCAAAGGCTAATGGATACACTGGAATTTCCCTTCATCAAGAATCAAGCGAGTGGGTGGACCTTTGGCATTTTTCCTTTATTTATTTAACTCTCTTTTATAGTAGTTTTTGCTGAACAAGTGATGAGTGTTTGGTTAATTTTGCCAGGACACTGCCTGTCTTTGGCCAGTCAGTCAGTAAGGCGGTAAGGAAACTCTGTTGCTTTGTTCTGGGGGAAGGGACTGAAACAAATATGTACGGCGTCTCACATAACGCAGTATTACCCCATGGCAACTGCCACTTCAGTACAACCTGTCGCCCTGCAGCCTGTACTATTGCCCAGTAGAAGTACACAAGACTGACAAATGAAATATACTAAAACACACACACACACACACGCATTGCAGCTGATATAAAAGCACTGAATGCAGCCTAGTTTTAGAAGAGCTGCGTTCAACGAGAATCTCCTCATGACTGTTTCCTACCACTCATTGCAACACTTGCCACATGCTGTTTATAATAAGTTTAGTATAGCAACTTAAAACATGTCGTTGTTTACAGCCTGTTTCTGCCTGGAAGTGGCCAAAATAAACTTTTAACAAGATTTTTTGTCGATATTTTAGTGAGGTGCATAATGTATGCACTGCGGTTTGAGCACCACCTGCTGGTAAAATAAGAGTAGTTGGTTTTTAAGTCTCTCATGACAGGTCAATTCATATTCTGACTCCATCTAGATAGAAATTTTAGATTATATCCCAGAGGGTGTAATTATGAGATGGATGCTGTTTACAATCAGGACTGAAGCCGGAGCTGCTGTAACCTGGAGAACTTAGAATGCAAAAACTTAGAAAGAATCACCAGTGGCTGTTGACTCAGGTAAGACAAGATGGAGAGATGCGACCAGAATCCAATGATTCCAGTCGGTGTTTGCAAAACAATAAGATAGAAGTTCTAAATGTCCCACTTGTAACAATGAAACATGCATTATTGACATGGGACTGAGACAAAAATTGTGAGGGAGAGGAGGACAGGAAGAGGGGGTAGAGGAGGGGATTTAATAGGCGGCCAGCCCAGTGGAAATGTACATAGTCTTAAAATAGGACAGCGTGTTATATAAGTGATTAGGGAGTGAGGTTTGTGTGTGTGGTGCTCGCTGGGTTCTGAAGTCACTGCATGCAAGGCCTTAATCTGGGCCCAGGGATCACACACACACACACACACACACACACACACACACACACAGCACCAGACAATGAGTCTCAGTGTTTTACACCAAGCTTTTGGCCTGAGCCTTAAATTGTCCCACAGTTCAGTGCGGTTCCCATGGCCGGTCTCGCTCTTTGGACCTTGTTTTGTTGGCATCCAGGCAACAGCAGCTTTTCCTTCTAATACTGTATATCACTACAGTCGTCTGAGAACTTTTCTAACCTTCACTGTGTTTGTAACTTAAGTTGTACTACAAGGTTCCCTTCTGGGTCTGAGTGTTCCACTTTACAATATTTCCATGTTACTGCTGGTGGTCATCGTCTGCACTGACAAATTTTTTGTTTGCTCTGCCTCTCATTAATTTGCTGTTGACACCCACCTCAGTAGGGTTGTGCATCACTGTCATTATCACATGAGGTAATGTGGGATTTTGTTGAACCATAATGAACCAGAATATAGCAGCAGTACAAAACATGATGCAGTATCAGTTGAAGTCAGAGCAGATTCCCACCTTATCATTTACCATCACATCATATCAATATTCCTCACATATTTTATCCAGTTTTGTTATTCCTGTTAATATGTCAAACCATTTTGACAGTGGGGGCAACATCAGCCATTACTGTCCACTGATGTTAGCAGTCACAGACATAAAGGAGTCCATTGTCTCACCAAGCAGGAAATACTGACACACCTAACATTCACACAGAGCAAGTGCTTGAGTTTCCTCTTAGTGTTATTAATTGACTGTGTAGGAAGTCAGTCATGAAGACAAATATGTGTGTACATGTCTTTATTGCACTGTTCACTGTTTTCTGTGCCACCGTTCTGAGGACATTCCAGCTGGATGTCACAACTTCAAACCGCTTTTTAAGGGTTAAGACGTGGTTTTAGGGTTTTGGTTATAACAGTCCAGTAAAAGGTGGCCTGTGTGTAAAACTAAACGTGTCGATCTCTGTGCAGCAACAGAAAAGGCCATAAATAATTCACCTCCTTGATCCTGCTCTGTGTAAATATCTTGCAGGAAGTCAGACAATGAATGAATGACAGAGAGATGTTGAAGCCACAGCCATCTGGCAGATGGGAAGGGATGCAAACATGGCCTCTTCCACTGTGACAGATATCTGCTGACTGCTGTGTGCGTCTCTTTCTCTAACACACTCTCTCTCATGGCCATTGTCAGATGGAGGTTTATAGTTCTCACTGTGTCATTATGGACCTAATCGCACCATTTAGTCATTCAACTAGTCACAGTCACATTTAATAGTTTTACAAAGCAAAGGAGGGAGGAAGAAGAGGGGCTGTTTTTATTTCATCTCTTCGTTAGACTTAGAGCTGAAGAGCCCTGAATGGACGTTTCAGAGCAGTGCAAACATAATTGAGTCTAAATATGAACCAAAACCAAAGTAGGCATAGTTGCCCACCTCTGGTTTTGTAGGGAGTGTTTCACTGTCCATCCCCGAAGATGTTGCTACAGTCAGGATAGTGATATAATGATCTGTTAATAGATACAATTACAGGCTATTTTAATGCACAATTAATACACCAGTGAAGCCAATAGTGTGGCTTTGTGAGTAGGTAATATTGTCACGGTTTACAGCCTCATTCATCTCCAGCAAGCCAAGCTTGAACCCAGAGTCATCCATGCTACATTGTGATGAAAGGTTTCCAGTGAAAGACAGTTTATAAAATGTGACGGCATAGTAGTTGAACAAGAAACAAGAATGTCTTTAATCCCCTGAGAATCCATGCTTTTATGGGTAGGTAAGTGGTTTTCTGAGGACTAAAGTTATCCTCTAACTGTTGAAAGAGGCTTCTGATGAAGGCTCAGGAGAAACAGACATTTTAATAATCAATGTAAGCATCACAATTACTTCAAATTTAGAAAAAACGCAAACTCTTCAGGTTCTTGGAAGTCATATACACACAGCGCTTCATTCCCAAAGTTGAGTTTTTTTAAATTTTACTTATTTTTGTAAACACATTTCAGCACATTTCCCAAGATATCAATCCCAGCTGGGTTCAGTTTCTTAACCCAGGCTGAGAAACTACCACCACCAACTGAATGCTGAAAATCTTGGCTTGTGGCTACTGTCGATCAAGCAGCCACGCTGGCAGGTGGCCAGACGGCATCGAGACATTCTGTTAAAATGTGAAAATATACTGTATTTAGTTTTCAGTGTGTTGAACAGAGCCTTTCCTCTGGGTTTATGTGAAATGACGTTTTAACATACCGCAGCAGTCGGCACCTTAAAGGTGCTGTAGGTGGATTAATATCACACCGGCTCTTAAATGATTTCATCCCCTGTTCCAACAGAATGGCTCAAAAAGAGAAACTTCAGTGCCTGAAGGATTTCCATAAGGACACTCTGAAGCCATCTCCGGGTAAGAGCCCTGGCACCCGGCCTGAAGACGAGGCAGAGGGCAAACCCCCACAGCGGGAGAAGTGGGCTAGCAAGTTGGACTTTGTTCTGTCTGTGGCTGGTGGCTTTGTTGGTTTAGGGAACGTCTGGCGTTTCCCATACCTCTGCTATAAGAATGGTGGAGGTAAGGCTTGAAAATACAACATTTATCTACATATGGACAATCTGTTTATCACATTGTTCTGCTTTGACTTCATCCTGATCATGTTTTTATTCCCATCTTTTATCTTTCATTCCCTCACTCCATGTTGTTTTCAATCTTTCCTGAATGTCTTCAATCTTTCTGTTTGTCTTTCCCACTGTTACTCCATCCTTTTGTCCCTCCACCCAGGCGCATTTCTCATCCCCTACTTCATTTTCCTGTTTGGCGGAGGTCTGCCAGTTTTCTTCCTGGAGGTCGCCCTTGGTCAGTTCACCTCTGAAGGCGGCATCACATGCTGGGAGAAGCTCTGTCCCATCTTCACTGGTATGTAACCCTCACAAAACCTATAGATGATCGTATTGATTACAATCCCATTTGGGCCTTTTTTTTTAAATTATGGTTTACATTCACAACCACAACACAACACACACTTTAGGGTTTAGATGGTATGGGTATAAGTCTATGTAAAGCTGCATTAACTAACTTCTCCCTTGAATTTTTAATTAAAAAAAAAACTCCACGCTCCTAGAGCTAGCTTACGCAGCCAGAGATCCACACGCCCAGGTACCAGACCTAGCCCGCCGCCTGACTTGCACTGCACCCGATCCTGATTCCTTTCCCTGCAGGTGGTGGCCCTTTACCGGGCACACGCTGGCAATCTCCCAGGTCTGATTCCTGCAGGGTACCCCAGTTTCCCTAATCCAAACAAGGTAGTGCAACTCGAAATGGCCATTTTCATCAGGGTTCATCAAGTTGAGAACTGCTGCTCTTTCACATAGAAAGGAGCCAGTTGAGGTGGTTCGGGCATCTTATCAGGATGCCTCCACAGTGACACGTTAGCTTGCTAAAGATTTTTGGGCCTTTGGTGAGCACTGTTGGCACTAGCCGGCCTCCGTCTCCGGCTTTTCGGCAAATTCGACACGTTGAATTGGTGTCCACAGGTCAGGCCTTGTCACTTAGAGAGAGACCACTCAGATTGGCTGTTGAGCTTAGAGAATCAGTGCACGGGAAGAGATTAGTTCCAGAAAGCCCCTACAGCCTGTAGCTGTGGCATCTGAGATTTCACTCATTTAGTGCTGTTTCTCGTTCTCACCTCTACGACCTCCTTTCTTCTACAGCCAAAAGACCAAGGGAAGAGAACGGCAGTGTCATTTTCAACTGTATTCTCAATTAGAAGCAGCTGATTTGAATGAGAGGTGCTTTGTTTATATCTTACACGTTCGCAGTTTAGTTGTTCTTCTTGTCCTTTTGAATGGCGAATACAGATACCGCCACCTGCTGGTAGGGGGAATTATTTCTGTCACACAGGCGCAGAACGTACGTGCTAGTCGGCCGTTGGCTGTAGTCTGTGTGGTGTGTTCAACACAACAGTCATCCTACATCGCTGCTAGTTCTTTCAAATCAGCTTGGTGTGTTTCTGCCCTAACACGTCGCTTGAGCGTCTCCCATAGGTGTTCAACTGGTTGGAGAGCTGGTGGCTGTGAAGGCCACAGCATCTGATTCACATCATTTTCATACTCACCAAACCAGTCAGTGACCCCGTGGCCTCTGGCATCGTGGAGGGGACCGCTCAGTTATTCAGGCCTTTCCTTTCGTCTGTCACCTGTTTGTCTGTTAGCGCTGTGTTCACAGCTTGTTTCTGCTTCCTCCAAGTGGCCAAATAATTAGTTGTGGTAGGTTTAATTTTACACTTGGTTTAGTTTATTTTTCAAAAATGATGATATGTACAGTGAAACAAACGTTCGTCTTCTTTGTCACGATATGTCACTGATCTGAACAGTGTCACCAGCTTTTCCCTGTGCAGCTACAGGGTTTACATTTTCCATACCGGTCTTGTTTTTCACTGAGAAATGGCTGTTCAGCATAAGACTGAGTCACACCTGACCCTCCCCCAGTTAGACTGCTGAGACTTTACCCTGCAACCGCTACCTGGCAACCAGACCTGCACTGGTACGCCAACACTCCGTAGCCTCTGTTCTGCTCTCACCTCGTCTCCTCTCTCACTGATATTAGTCATGTTATCAGACTTTTGTTCCTGCTCCTTTGTCTTCAGTCTGACCTCCCCTCTCTTGCCATTCTTCCACTGTATTTCTTTCCTTCCCTCTCTTCCCCCTTGAGCTTCTCCACTTCTCTTCATTTCCCTCACCAGTTCTTCTCACCTCCCCCTCTACTTCTGTTCGCTACCAGCTGAATAAGGTTTAACGTATTCATCACTGTCTATTTGCCTCTGAGTAGGTACTTTTCTTTGTAATGTTAATACTGCTAAGTCATTTTTTGCAAAAACACATAAACGTTTCTCTTAAGTTTGTAAATTAAGTTCAGTAATTTTATCATCAGTGGTTAAGATTTAATTATTTAGTTTTGCTATTCTCACTGACATTTACACACATACACTCTTCCTTCCCTTCAGACACATTAACCACACACACACACACACACACACACACACACACACGATGTACAGAGTTTCCTGAATCACACGTTGCCACAGAAACAGCACAGCAACGTGCGAGAGAGAAAGAGAGGAAACGGAGAGCAGAGCAGGGAGATCTGAGGAGCGGAGAGATGGATTGATAAAGATGAGAAAAGAGGAGAAATGAAAGCACAGAGACAGGGAGTGGAAAAGAGGAGAGAATGTGACAGGAAAGAGAAGAAACAAGGAGAAGGAGGTGCAGCAAAGAAATAACTCAGAAATCAACATTACTGTTTGTGATGAAAAAGCGACTTGAAGTAATTAGCCTTATCTCCTGAAGCTGGGAACAGACTGTAAGAACGAGTAAACCTACATGCCCCACACATGACGACATTTTCTAAGAACAGTCATAGATTTGTTGGTTTTGCTTTGGCATCCACAAAAGAATCAAAGCAGAAAAAACACACTGGGCGATAGCGAGACTGCTAGATCCAAACAAACACACGCTTATAGGTCTTTTTATAGTAAGAGCAAATAATCAAAAAACAGTTTGTTCTGCTAGTGACTTGAGAGCTTTGCCTCTGGATTGAAAAACCCAATGAAGTGAATTATAAAATAACCGCTGATCTTTCATGCAAAGCACGTCACAGTTTACCATATGATTGTGGCTTTTGCTTTTATTATTGGGATCGGTACTCGTTCAGATCATCTGCTGTTGTGAAAAAGCCAAGACACTGAACATTACACAGCAGTGACTGTTTCAGGTATAATTTCTAGAGATAAATAGTTTTATTTTCAAGCACAGTGACTGTAATGAGGGAGGACAAGCAATCAGAATTCTTTAATAACACACACACTGTATGGCCATATGATTTACCACTAACAAACACACACTGCCCCAAACTGGAACAAAATCAGCCCAGTGATCTCTTATGGCGCCCAGACCATATTTATCACTGGCTAAATAACTGAAATGTGTTCTCTCTCCACAACTTTGATCAAAATATAACAATAAGAGGCATCACAGTGACACAGCGGTTGGTGCTGTCACCTCACAGCAAGAATGTTCTGGGTTCGAGCCCCGGCCAACCTGGGGCCTGTCTGAATAGTAACTTTAACCATAGTTAAAGTTACTGTTCATCAGTCATTAATATTTTCCTAAGCTCTGACAACAGTAGACTTATTTTTGTGCCTGTGTGTTGTGTTACAGCAATTATTAAAGAAGTGTCGGACCTATCAGCAGGCTCGCACTCTTCAGACCATACCTCCTAGTTTAGATACACATGTGAAGTGAAAGAATAAAATTATTGCAGTTGTTATGTGTGGCCAAAAAATATCCACAGTAAATGTAAACAGTCTGATCGAGGTCAGGCGAGGTCAGAGATCATGGAGGAGGATTCATCTGTTTGTTAGTTCAGCACTGTTCCATGTGAACTACACAAGTCAATTTATGTTTGTGTGTTTACAGATGTAGGTGCTTAACAGCTGCTAATTATATTGTCTTTTTAATTAAAGGACATGATGAGTTGGCATCTATATGAACGTGTGAACTGCTTCACTATCACTATCGTTCAGTTTTAACCCAAATCCCAACCTTCTTCTTAGGGTTAGGGTTAGGGTTCTCAGATTGTGAGAACTCACTCAAGACAGGAAGTAAAACCTTATAAACTATGTCTGTGCAGAGTCAGAGAAGGTCAGGCAGTAGAAAACATTTATCTTTACCTCTGATGACCCAAGTTCAATTCACACATTGTCATGAGTGGCTGTGGCTCATGAGGTAGGGTAGTTGTCTCCTGACCAGCAAGTTGGTGGTTCAACTCCCGGTCTCCCCCGCCGAAGTGTCCCTGAGCAAGACTGTATAAAATACAGTCCATTTACCATGAGGCACTTTATTTGACTTTTGTTAAAATGTTCTCATTCAGCTTCTTAAACCACTTTTTGTCTGCACTGGTACATAAAAAAAATTGACGTTTGGTGAAAGTACACAGTCTACACATCATTTTCACCCCCAAACATCATCTGTGTTTGTTCTCAGTTCACGGACTGTGACACTTGTATTATTATTAGCTGTCTGGGCCTTTTGAGGAAGCTGAAATGTCAATCATTGGTCACATGCATGTAAAGGGAAATGACAGCATTTTGCACTAGGCCTAAAGCCACCAGTTGATGTTAATAAAAAAAAAAAGTATTTCTTTTTTTTTAAGGATTCAGTTTAGGTGATATGACTGTAAACAGGTTGTTTACTTTTGTCCCATCTCAGTCTTCTATCTCTAAACTGAACCATAAAGCTGGATCACACTTTGACCTGGGCTGCTGACATCTTGGTGTATCATCACATGACCTCTGTCCTCTGTCCAGGTATTGGCTACGCCTCCATTGTGATCGTGTCCCTGCTGAATATCTACTACATCATCATCCTGGCCTGGGGCCTTTACTACCTGTTTCAGGTAGGTTTGGCAAAAAGAACCTCTAATGGTCCTGAAGATGTCCTGTCTTTTTCATTTCCTTTTCTCTCGCTTCTGTCATTTACAGCTTATATAGTGGAAACACTGAAGGATAGTTATCAGGGCGGCGTGACTTCTGGCTCTTATGATTACTGACTAGTTGGACTGACAGTAGAAACTCAGGGTTACCCTGTAGAATGTTCCTGTTGTGCCTTCACTACAACAATGAAGGAAGCTAAAATTCATGTTACAAAAGGGCAGAAGTTGTTAAAGCCCCATGGAAGCCTTGGTTGCTAAGCCTGGTAAAAGAATAAAATGTGTGTTTTGCTGGTCCAGAGACTGAAGTGTCTTGGTTGGTTTATGCCACGACCACCCGACCAAATGAGACTCTGTGTTCAAATTCCAACACTGATTAAGCTGTTGACTGTTGCTGTGCTCTAATGTAGTCTAATGTAACCTCTGCCTTCTTTTTTGCTTTTCAGTGTTTTCAGCCAGAGCTGCCCTGGGCCAAGTGCAATCAGCCCTGGAACACCGACCGCTGCATCGAGGACACCTACCGCAAGAACAAAACCCTGTGGCTGGCTGCCAACGCCTCCAACTTCACCTCCCCCGTCACCGAGTTCTGGGAGTGAGTTCCATGTCATTTTTATGTTGCCATGTCAAAAGATGGGTTAAGCTGAGACTTTGATAAACATTCTCCAGTCCCCCCCAGCACACACACACACACAGAATAGCAATCAATTTAAAATTAAGAAAATTGTCTCCAACTTGTCTCCAGCTCTGACTAGGCTGCACAGCTAAACACACATGCTTTCCCTCTGTGTTACAGACGCAATGTGCTGGGTATCACCGGTGGTATAGAAGAGGTGGGTCCCATTAAATGGGACCTGGCTCTGTGTTTGCTGCTCGTCTGGGTCATCTGCTTCTTCTGCATCTGGAAGGGAGTCAAATCCACGGGCAAGGTAGATGATTTCATGTTTACTATTATATACTGTGTTTTGTGTGTTGCACTGTTAATCGAGAGCAGGATTTTGTTCCTCTTGAACTCGGTGAACTTAGAAAAAGTGCAAAGATTTGCCCATTTATGTCATTACTGTATCACAGTGATGCCAAAAACTGTGACAGTGATCCTCATATGAGTTGTATCTCTGTGCTCTGACCAAGAGAACAGTAAAGCACTGTGGTTGAACAGGAAAGTGTGATTTTTCTAAAGCCTTGGGAGACGGAGGAAGCTACAAATGCAAATGTTTCTTAGGGGTGGTGAGGTTCTTAAACACCTGCTACCTCCCAACAGTCATCAGTCACTCACAGAGAGACTTCTTGCCTTAATAACTCCCCCGTGGTCTTAATAATCCCTGTTAACAACCGCCTCAGGCAGGACTCCAGCAGTCAGCTGCTGAGCAGGCACACACACATAAAGACACCTTTACACTCTCTGTGCAGAGTCCACTTGCACACTACTTGGTCTGGTTTTTAAGGACTGCATCAGTATTTATTGGTATTTTATAGAGGTTATAGTATGTTTGTTTTATTTATTTATTATCTTTCTGCGAGTTGTTGCTCTGCATCTCTGGCAACGTAAATGGATCTAGGTATTTTTTTTAGTATCCTGGTAACTATGATGTGATGACAATAAAGTATCCTTGCAGGTCTAAAACTCTTATTTTCAGTTTATAATTACATACATAAAGATTAAACAAGTAGTGTTTTATGTGTGATAATAAGTTAATATTAGATTTCAGCCTGGCCAGTGTTTTGATGCGGATATAAATAAATGAAAACAACCCATTAGCATCTTCATTTTGGGCCTTTTTTTAATAGTCTTGAGACTTTTTAATGATTAGTCTGACCTGGTTTTTTTCTTCTGGTTGCTTCATGCTGTAACTCTGGTAATAAAGTCAGTCCTAAAAGGTCAAATGTGGTCACCACTTTCCAAATACCAGATAGTGATATTGGATTCAGGGACAGCCTGTGGTCTCATCTTGTCATAATCCATAAAATAACTAAGTGTTCACACATTTATCAAACAAGGTTTTCTGTAATGACACCAGAGATATTAGATAGTTGGCTAAATTAACATCCTTATTGCCAAGAGATGAGTCTGAAACTCAGTCTTCACAAAATAACCATTAGTTTTCCTTAGTAGAATATTACAGACTAGAGAAGCGGTGTCCTCAGCGTGTGATCCTGCTTCCTTTGTTGCCTCTCTCAGGTGGTCTACATCACAGCCACATTCCCATTTGCCATGCTCATTGTGCTGTTGATTCGTGGTGTGACACTGCCGGGTGCTACTGAGGGTATTAAGTTCTACCTGTACCCTGACCTCGCTCGCCTGCAGGACCCAGAGGTAGGTGCCCCCGTGCTGCCTGAGCCTAGCCCATCATCTGTGCAGGCTACTCCCTGTTGTCCCACAGCTCTAAAATGACATCACCATGTGTAACAAGTTGATGGAATACAACAAACGATGCCACTTTGAGAGACAATATACAGTACTCAGTAACTTCTTCTAGTGTAGTCACAATAGAATCACTGCACTAGATTTGACATATTTTGCAGCTGAATAACAAAATTAGATACTTCCCCCTTAAAGTCTTATATTCACCCATGTTCTGCAACCAAGGTATTATTGAAAGATAAGATTTGGAATATAGCTTAACCAGGTTTGGTCAGACAGACATGTTTGCCCTTGGTGGCATGAATTGAGGAAAAAAGAAATATGCATGGATCAGAATGCCCCAAGGCTTATGATTCCAATTCATAAACTTGCAGCAACAAAAAGAGAACAGAAATAGTGTTTTTGGTAAGCTTTAAAATCAGTCAGAGTCTGAGCTGTCACACAAACGCACCACAGGTACATTTTCTTAGTTGTTTAGGCTACTGATTAATCTACACCTATACTACCTGTGCAGTTGGTATATTGATTGTTCGGGACAAATAAAAACAGACTACAGAATGAAGAATGCAACACCCATGTAAACAGTCCATGTGCTGGTTTGCAGCCCAAACCTTTACTAAAGTGTCTTTGCTAGATTCTAGCAGACAAATCCTGACTTTCCTCATTTATATTTGTCTTACCCATGACCCACGAATGGTCCTGTGCTTCCCCTCATCAGCAGGCCTCAGCCTTTCTGTCCCCACTCTCTCCCCCTGTTTGGCAGGTGTGGATTGACGCCGGCACACAGATCTTCTTCTCCTATGCCATATGTTTGGGCGCCATGACGTCCTTGGGAAGCTACAACAAGTACAAATACAACTGCTACAGGTGAGATGTTAGTTTTCAGTGAGAGGGTTAGCGGTAGGGGAGAGAGGGGGGACGGGATCCTTGTTGTTCATTAACAAATCCTCCTCATGACATATGTGTGACATAGGGACTGTTTGCTGCTGGGAGCCCTCAACAGTGGTACCAGTTTTGTGTCTGGCTTCGCAATATTTTCCGTCCTGGGCTTCATGGCACAAGAGCAAGGGGTGGACATTGCTGATGTTGCAGAGTCAGGTATGAGGGTTCTGTAAAGGCGGCAGTGATGGTGGGCGCTGCTTCCTGGTTAACAAATTAAACAGTAAATATAAAGAAAAGCAGCAATGAGACTCTAAAGAGAATTAGCCAATAAGTTCAATTTTGAATTGAGTTGTAATTTGGAATTAAATGCATTCCCTGATTAATTACGAATGACGGCATCAGAATATGGAAGTTTCCGCAATCAAACACTCCTTGACAAAAGCAGAATGTGAGAAAACGTTAGCATATTTGGTCGGTTTGTAAGTGCATCATTCGAGTAAAGCAAGGTGGATGGGTCAGGGCTCAGCAAGAGACGCTGACAAGCATTAGAGATGTTTAAAAATGAGCTAGAATGAATACTCGAAGGTACCATAGATGTGACGACATACAGAGCATCTTGTGCCAGTGCTGCCAGAGTTTTGGCTTCGAGGTGTTCCTTTTCTGTACGTGACAAACTGATGTCACCGTTGTTGTGCTTCCTGTCTAGGTGAATGATGTATTGGCATATGGGGTTAATAGTTGTTTGCAAAAGTTTTGTTTTAATTCTAACACTTAGAACTGGCAATTTTATATTTTTCTAATGTTTGTCAAGGTCTTCAGCCACTCAGTATAATAACTAGATCAATAACTAGATGAATAATAACTAGATCATGGACCATTTTAGCAAAGAAAGAAAAGACTATCCCTCAGTGCAACAGTGTTTGCCGTTATGGCCACATGAGGCTGAAGTGTTTTGGAAAAGCTTTAATGCAGCCACGAGCACCAGCATCTTCTCCGTAGAGTGTAGTACACCTCTCACAATGTGACAGTGCATCTTGTTTGGTGGGAATAGAATTTGTGATGAAACAAAGTTTGGCCGGGTTACTGTGGTAGTCATGCCTGGTTTGCCTGTAGGAATGATTAGACAAAGAATGACGTATGCTTGTTTTTGAAATCCCAGAGGCAGATAAAAGATGATTCATTCTTTAAAAATACATGTTACACTCAAACAAAGTGTTATCCATCAACAGAGAAAACTGGATTTTTCTAGAACTACCCTTGAAGCTTGTTTGGAAAGTACAGTACAATTCTTCTCTTTTTCTGTGATATATTATAACTTAACTGCTTCCTTTATTTCCTTTAAGGCATTTCCTTTGACATCAAACAAGACATAAATTTGAAACAGTTAATCTTTTCTTGTGACAGAATAAAGAGACTATCAGCACTAAGTGTTTTTGTGGAACCCAGGCAGCATCTAATGCTCCAAGATCAACCAGTCAGATGAAAATGTAGCTTAGTGCCAACTTTAGCCACTGCTCATGCTGCCAGCTCAGCTGATACTAATACTGAACAGCTCTGTGTTCTCCAGGGCCAAAATAATGATGGGGTTTGCTGTCCAATGATGTGTTTGGCGAGTGGGATTTTGCTTCACGGGTTACCAAAGAATAGAAGCGTAGGTCAATGGTGGATCTAGCCTGGTGTTGCTGGAGCCTCTGTGGCACGTGAGCAACACGGAACTCAGTTACTGATAAAACGTTAATATTCCAGCCTGAGAAAGTGTATCAGTGTACTGTCAACCAAAGAGCAGAGCAGGTCCAGTAGACAGCAGAAAACAGCAAGAGCTAATACATGAGCTTTGAAAGGTTGAAGCCCTGCCAGGTAAGGAAGCTCAGGAGCAGCACACGTCTGCCTTAACTGCGACTGCTTGATTCAGATGTACCTGACAGATGAATGAATGCTATCTGCATCATGCACAGTGCAGTGTAAGCTCCCACGCTGTGGCCTCTGTTGGCTCAACAATGTACGAAGAACAATACTATATGAAAACAGACAATTTCAAGTATCATAGTTTTTGTTCACTCCAGTCACTAATCACGCTGTTTGACATGGATCCTGTTAATATTCTCTAGGCTTGATTAACGTTCTGCTAGCATCTCCCCTCTTAGGGAGTGGAAGCTGGTACTATGTTTTGGAGTCAAAGCGGTGTTTGGTTGGATGCCTCGTCATAATTCACAACAAAACGGAACATATTTACATACAGTATATACAATCAGCTGCAATGCTGTTTCGCTGTTACGGCTGCTCCATTGTTCCTTGACTTCTGTTTTGCAGTTCACAAAGTAGCATCAGTGTCAAATTAGAGCACAAGGGATAAAAGCCTTTGCTTTTTATTTGACAACTCAGTTTGCAAATGCTGCTGTTTTGCAACAGTCATTTTGCATAAGCATCACATTTATTCAGTCGGGGATGCAAAATGGCTCAAGTGAATTAGGTGTTGACATACTTTGAATCATTTGAGAAACCAAGATGTTCTCACCTTTTCTAGCAGTTGATTGTCTCCATGTTAAAGTCTTTCAACTGCCTGGAAAAGCAAATCAAGCATGTTAGTATTTCATATAATTGCTGCATTGCTTACAGTGGTCTACGCTGTTTTTGGTAACAATGCCATGACACGTACTAGTTGCAATCCACTATATGTTAATACATAATTTATAGTATGCTTCATGATTTTACTTCCACAGATTTGCAGTTACAGGAAATTAGGAAAGATTGCATTAGGTTCTTTAATACAGCAATGTTATATTGTTATTGTTTTGTTTTCTCTTATTATGATGTTCTAAGCTTTCCTTGGAATATGTCGTTGTAAATGGTATGAAATGGTGTCATGTATGCATACAGTTAGTGATGTTACAGCAGAAGTAACAGGTAAGTACAGATGTGCTGCTGACATTCCCTTTCAACACCTAGAACACACACAAGCATCCACTGTATTTGCAACATTCTAGCCCAGGTTTGCTTTGATATTTTTTCAGATCTGGTTCTGGGGCCTTTCAGATCAGATAAGCTCATCACATGATACTAATGTTGCCCCATCCCCCCCCATACCCCTCTGCTTGCTCTGTACCCCCACTCCCCTCTCCTCTGCAGGTCCAGGCCTGGCATTCATCGCCTACCCCAAGGCTTGGCCTCGACAGTCAGGTTAGCAGACACTGTCACCGCTGTTAGAACTGCACGGGGCAAGACGTTAGTGGTGATAACACGCCTGAGACACCCACAACTCTTACTGACGTGCCTATCAACAAAACACTTAACTGCCCAGCGGGCAACAGTAGAGGCGTGTGTGTGTGTGAAGAGGCCTGCCCACAAACTTGAAACATATTTAAAACACTTTTTTTGTTACTGATTCTTTCAACAAGGATAACAAAGACCTTATTTAAATATTAGCTCAGGGGTTTTCAACTAATTGTGCCCGAGGAAACACCATCCTGACTAAAAAGTAACCTGAGGAATACTGTTGTGGGGTGGATAGACTGAATGAGCTCTAATTTAATCCTGAAAGTCACCTGGGCATTCTTCTTTTTTTAACCTCAGTAAACTTGAAGGTATGAGAAGCAAACCATGACACGCTGATGTAAGTGACGTTGTTCTCGACTGTCTCGCTGTGTTTCCCCACAGTTTGTGGAGGTGGAAGGGCAGATCACATCACTGGTGGATCTGTATCCATCCTTCCTAAGGAAGGGTTACCGCAGAGAGGTCTTCATCGCTATCATCTGCTGCATCAGCTACCTGCTCGGACTCACCATGGTGACCAAGGTAACAGCACCACGAAAAGTGGACAGAAAAACACAAAGGACGGCACCAGACATCATGAACAGTATGGACATATGAAGCCCAGTGAAAAAGCAGAGCTGCTACTTTTACATTATTGAGGAAATGCCAGCATTTGCAAAGACTGTCTATCAAACCATTTTTATCCAGTGTAAGCATGTGCACAGTATCTACTGGTAATTGTATGTATACTGTGCTACACTACACTACTGTCCTGTGCTGACCTCGTTTCAGGGTCCAACCAACAGCTCAGTACAGCAGAAACAACAACATTCAGACAGTTATTAGTATAAGTCTCTGGGGAAACGGCGGGGGGCTATTTATACTGTCAAGTCATGAGAACTTCCCTTCCCTCCTCTGGTATTAATAGATACAACAGACATGACTTAGCTTTTCCAAAACTTCTTCTCCTTATCCTCCTCTTCTATTTCTGACTCTTGTCATTTCTTTCTTTTGCTGTTTTTTTCTTTCCCTGTGTGGGCGGTTGTGGCTCAGGAGGTAGAGCGGGTCGTCTCCTAACCAGAAGCTTGGTGGTTTCATTCCCAGCTTCTTTGGGACACGTGTTGAAGTGTCCTTAAGCAAGACACTGAACCCCCAGTTGCTCCCGTTGATATCACCGGTGTGTGAATGGCCAAATAGTGTGAAAGTGCTTTGAGTGTGCCGCAATATATAGAAAAGAGAAGGTTCGTCATGCTGTGTTGAATGGTGGAACCTCAGCTGACTGTAGCTAACTTGTAGCGGACCTAGAGATCCTGTCGACAATTGCAGACTGATAAATGACTCTGCACCCTGATTTCAGCTCTCGATTCGGGAGCTAACGCTAGCTAGCAGCTGTTAGCAGATAACACAGACATGGCAGACGGCTTCATTTCTGTCCTGTCTGTGCTCAAACTGAACACTAAAGAGGATGATTGGATGTAGTTGAAGCATCCACTGCTGTATATAGCCGTATGGGGTAGTATTTATTTTTTAAATTAACTTATATGTAGTGTAAATCTCTGACTGATAATGAGCGTGATCCCTCCAAAATATACAAAATTCAACAGAGCGTGATGACAGCTTCACATTCTTTATTGTATCCTGTCTTTGGTGAGAGAGTCAGGGACCACCAGTGGTTTGTCACAGCTATTACTTTCATTATTGGGCACTTTGTACCACATGATTCTTTTTTGTTTTCTGAGCCTTTGTAGTCATCTCTTTAAAAGTTACAAAAGCCTCAAGCTCTGTGTCTGAGACTGTTACACATTTGTCACTGTCCATGTGTTCTCTCACATGTCCTTCCTAACACTGTCATTCATCTGATCCATCCTTATCCTCTTCTTCCTCTCAAACCCTCACAGCCTTAATTTCTGTTCTCATACAATGTCCAACTTTCTGTCATTCTATTTTCTGCCCTGCATCCCTCCCTTGCTCCTTCTCTCTTTCTCCTTCTGTCATTCCCATGACTATGTCTTTTTATGGCTGCAGTGGCCTGGTTCAAGTTTAGAATTCCCAGACAGTTTTCACACTGGGCGTACGCACACATGAACACACAGAGGCGTGTACGCACACAGACACACATGTGGACAAGTCTGCTGCTAATGTTCAGTCTTAATATATCTCTGTCTCCATGCTATGTTGTTTAAATGATCATTCCTGTAGAAAATCTGACTGCATTGAAAGCTGCACGTTTTATATGTAAAGTGTAGTTTGAAAAACAAAGAAAGGAGCACGCCTTAGTCTACTGGATCATTTTAAGCCTCTCTGTCTGTTTGTCTCTGCAGGGTGGCATGTATGTTTTCCAGCTGTTTGACTACTATGCAGCCAGCGGTATGTGCCTTCTGTGGGTGGCATTCTTTGAATGTGTAGCTGTTGCCTGGGTATATGGTGAGTAGCATTCTTCAGAAATAACAAAATATTATCAAGGACTTGCTGGTGATTTACTGGCTGAATTTAGGGCGCAGGAGATGAATGAGTCTCTGCACACTGAACGTAACATCCAGTTGTATGTGCACTCTCTCAGAGAGCATGTACTTAGTGATAAATGGCCGAGATAGATGACTGCATCACAGAAAAGGCCATTTAGACACAGCAGAGTTAGCTTATCAGTCCATGACTGAAAAGCCTTGATACATGAAGGTTTTGGTTGTACTTGTGAAATCATTAGTACATTATAGCACTTTTCAGAGAATACGGGATGCTGGGTGCGACTGTAGTTCAGTGGGTAGAGTAGTCGTCTCCCAACCGGCGGGTTGGTGGCTTCAATCTCGGTGCCTGCAGTCCACATGTCGAAGTGTCCTTGGGTAAGACATTGAACTCCCAAGTTGCCCCTGATGGTTGGAGCCATTGGTGTGAGTTGGTGCCGCTGATGGCTGATGGTGATTGATTATTATCACTGTGGCCCTGCAAAAAATACGCAGTGAAAGTGAGACAGACATTTATGATGGTGGTGGGTAGAGCAGTCGTCTCCCAACCAGAAGGTTGAAGGTTCAAATCTCGGTGCCAGTAGTCAACGTGTCGAAGTGTCCTTGGGCAAGACACTGAACCCCCCTGTTGCCCCCGATGGTTAGATGGCCGCAGATGGCTGCCTCGGTTCTGTACCTTGTGTGTAACATACTTGGCCAATAAAGGTGATTATCCTTATTATCCTGTAAACAGAGGCTGCACCCATTTATGAATTTTAGAGAATCTGCTAAAGACAAATTACATGTAAGACTTGAAGTATTACATTAAGTTGTAGCTACAGGAAGTACACAGAGCATCCAAGACTGTTAAATCTGAAAGAATGGTTTATTGATGTACCACTGACTAATTGATTTTCTGCACTGTGTTTTGATTTATTTTGCTAAATTTGGTATGAAAGTACACTGAAGCATCCTTGTATATTTATATTTCTGTCAATTGTTTTTACTGTTTTATTGTATTTCTCTTTTCATTGTCTGTCTAAATGTTGTTTTCTTTGTCCTTTGTAAAGCACTTTGAATTAGTTCTGCCTTGTCCTGCCTAATAATTGCTTTGAAATAAGTAGTCACAGTAGTATTAGTAGCAAATAAAATGCACTGAGTTACTAAGTGAGTCTTCCCCAGCAGAAGATGAACCAAACATTTTGTTCTGCTTTTGCAGGCGTTGATAATTTCTACGACGCGGTTGCGGACATGATTGGCTACAGACCAAATGCTTGGATGAAATGGAGCTGGACTGTTGTCACTCCTTTACTGTGCATGGTGAGGGTTTTCTTTCACTACCCAGCTAATTGTAATCATCTGTCACCCTGTCAGTGATTACTAGAGCTGGACTAATGAAACACATCATTGACAGTATTTGCCTTGAACCCACTCTACTGGATAATCTGTTAAATTCAGTACTATACTGACATCCATGAAATCATTCTGATCACTTTCCTACGTGCACTTATGAAACACCAAATAAAGATTTGCTGAGACAAATGACCACATCAAAATGTGAGACTATCCCTTTAAAAGCTGATGGGAACTTTCTCTTCGTCTCCAGGGCTGCTTTATCTTCTCCCTGGTCAAATACAAGCCACTGACGTACAACAAGTCCTATGAGTATCCTGACTGGGCCATTGGCGTCGGCTGGACTCTGGCCCTGGCCTCCATGATCTGCATCCCCATGGTGGTTGTCATCAAGATCATTCGATCTGATGGGCCGCTCATTGAGGTAGGTGGTGTAATGTCTTGGCTGGCTGTGTAGCTGTTAACTTATTTAGTGTAGTTTTTAAGGCTGGTTCAAGTCAGAGATGAAATGGATGCTCACTGAATCACTTACAATTTTAAATCACCTCTTCAGATGCTGATTTTGTAGCCGTTGCTTATATAATTTTTTGTCCAGTATTTAAGATCACATCCCTCAGTTTTCTATTTCCTTGAACCCATCTCCTTTCTTTTTTGTTGTCTCCCTTCTGTTTAGTTGTTCAATTCATTCCTTTCTTTTGTTTAACTTATATTGATCATTCCTTCTGCCACCTCTCTCCCCTCCATCCTTCCCTCTGCTGTTACTACCTCTCCTTTATCTTCTCTCACATGTCTCTAATCCTTCCTTCTTGTCTCCACCATTTCTTCCTTCCTGCAGAGGATTAAGGCAGTGGCAGCCCCGGTTCATGGTGGGGCCAGCTCCCGTCCTGCAGACCCACAAGGCCTGAAGGAGCTCTCCTACCCGCTGAACCCCAATGGGAACAAGGACCTAATGATGAAGGCCCCCACCCACACCATTGTAGAAACCATGATGTAAAGGAATGAGGTGGAAGCTCTCTATGAGACCGCTCTCCTCTCCTCTCTTGTCTTTGCTTCTAAAGCTAGCTAACTTTCTATCTGTCTGTCTGTTGGACTGAGAAGGGTTTTAAGAAACAAAATGGTCCAGTTTCAAATCTTTTAAAAATACTTTGGATGTAGTTTACTGTTAGTGGATGAAGAGACTAGTAGTCACATTTTAAATCTGTTGTTGAATTACTCACAAGCTGTTGTTTTCCAACTACATGTCCCGCTGTTGTCTCATTTAAAGGCAGAGTGGCACATTAGTACCAGCTTCTGTTTGTTCCACCAGATAGAAAGTGGTGATTGAGTCTTGGAATCAAATAGCCTTTTGTAACCATAATATGAAAATGTTTCCTACATTAATCATACTGTAGAACACCAAAAGCAGGTACCTGGGCTGTTTATGTAAAACACAACAGCTCTGTGCCTGTGATACTATGAAGAGGGAGCACTTTACTGAAGGTATGTGCCATAGGGTTCAGCTCCTCCACAATGTTCTGTAGAGGCCCAGCTGAGGTGAAGTGGGGGACTGAGGCACTACAGGTGCAGCTAAAAACACCTTTTTACTCATCATTAAAACTGTAATCAAAAACTCTGAAAAGCATCTTGTTGTTTTAGCTGCACAAGGCAAGACTAATAAAGATTAATGTGGCAGTCACAGGGAGAGGCATTTGAAAGGATATGACGTGTGGAGGTTGAACCCTGGTTAAGTGTGATGTCAGTGGTGTACTGTACAGTAGTAGTTAATCAGTCTGTATCTCCATCTCTCTCTGTCCTAGTTTACAGTGCATTAGTGAGTGCACTAGATGTACACTTATGGATTGGATTGATTTTCTTTTCTACAGAGTAACTTAATGGACATTAATATTAGTTTTTCCTCTGTTGATGTTTAGTTTTTTTTTTATTATGACTAATGTTATTGGTATTCACAATGGATGATGATTGCTGTAGTTTAACATAGAGGAAGGAACACTTGTTTCATCTGGTGAAAATACAAAGCTAACAAATGACACATTTACAGTGGCAGCCATTGTAATATAGTCTTCAACTTGTATTTCTTCAGTGTTGGTCCCAACAATGATTCCATCCTTACATGCAGTTTCCCAGATACTTTTTCTTGTAGGGCTGTGGGTTAAACATTCAGTGAGCTAAACTGGGAAGTCTACAATGGTTCCATCAGTAAGTCGCTATGTTTTGGTGGTTTTAGCTTTTCATTTTCTGTAAATATCAGGTGACAGTATTTCATTTGGTCAGACAGGGCACATAGCCAGTAGGTGGGTTTCCATCCATATGAGTTTCTGGATATTTTCCATTTCTACTTAAAAAAGAAAATGTAGAGTAGTGGAGTAGAGACGCCTGAAATTCAAACAAAATTTGAAATATTGCAAAAAAACAAAACAAAAACAAAAACAAATTAGGCTTGGGTAGAAAAGTTTCTGTATCCATCAAATCAAGATGTGACAAAGTGCAATGCAAACTAATTAGGACGTAGCCTACTTGAAACATAGTTAAATGTCCACAGAAGAGATGAAGATCTGTGCGGAGTGATGAAGAATGCAGTGATTCTCAAATGATTACCTAATACAAACGACAAGGCCATGTTTGTCTTGGTGACCTTGTTGCACCCACTTCTTCTACAGTGGTTTAATGGTAACACACCTCCAGCTGTTTATCTTGATGCAACAACTCCTACAATCCATATATCCATATATTTGCATTGTCTTTTGCCAGTTTTCTCAAAATTTTCGTACAATTTGTGCTACATTTGGATGGAAACCGACCTGGTGGTTAAGCAACATTTCAGCAACTCAGTGATCCAAGCAGCCATTGGTGGGCTGATACTCTCAGACTGTCGACTTGCCTGTGTGTCACGTTCCTTTCCAGACACCGTGACATGTGGCAGGCGCCTGCAGACAAATTCCAGCCAGTGACAGAGGTAGCCAGGTTGTTTTAACGGCCACCATGTCACATCGCTTCACTAAATGATCAGATGAGTTTGGTTTTACAGCGGCAGTAAGTCAAACTTCATTTGCAGCCTTTAGACCAAGCTCTCATGTGTTGGTGCAGGCTACTAAAAGCCCATGCCATCATGCTGAGAGGGTGACATGACTTCAGAATCAGAATTGCGTTTATTGGCCAAGTATGTTTAAACACACAAGGACTTTTGACCCTGGTACAGAGGCTCTTAATGTGCCTGTAAGTCGGCAAGAAAATAGGAAAATCTATGTATTTAAAATAAGAAAGAGAATAGGAGGCAAAAAGAAGAAACAGTGGATGTCTAAATATATACACACACTGTGGCAGAGGAGCTTTCAGATTGTTTTGTACAATAGTTATATTTATTGTGCGATTTGCAGTATTGCACTGGGGGCTGTTGTCCAGTCATACAGTCGTGGGTTAAGTGTTCATCAGAGTGATGGTACAGAGAAAGAAACTGTCCTTGTGTCTGGTTGTCTTAGCGTACAGTGACTCTGCGATGCATTAACTGTGTCTGTGGCAGATTTGGCAGACGGACTACATTACATTCTTCATGATAACAAGGGGCCATAATGTTACGATGTGAATCGTTAGCAACTCGCAGCAGGCTATGTGAGCAGTATGACTGTTAGATTCATTTTAATGTCTGTGTAACAAGGGTTTCCCATGCGTCACCAGCGGTCATCCACTCAGGAACTCGTCTCTAGTGCTTTTATCTACTGTATAGCTACATTATTAACCCAGCATCCATTATTAACCCAGCATCCAAAAAAACATCTGACTTGTGCCTGTGGGTGATAAGGAACTGAAATGTGATGGTAGCAATCGAAACAGGGGTTTTATCCGGATCAGTTCCGGATTGAATCACACCTTAACTGCTTATTTTACCCACAGCCAAAGACAAAAATAGTTTTCATTGCACCTTATTTGTATAATAATTTGGATTTCACCTGAACTTTTGAGCTCCGCCCAAAAATATAACAACAATCAGTGCACGTCAAATATACAGTTACACAGCGCGCACACACGCACACACACTGCAGGAATTTGACCAGCATCCCACCAAAAGTGATTGTGAGACCACAGCCTCGTTTCGTGTGTCATCTAAGTCTTGATTATTTTCATCAGTTCATTTCATATCTTTATTTAGAATAAAGTTGTTCATATCATATAAGGATTTGTAAAACCAAGTCCACAGCAGACATCTATTTTCATACAGTAACGAACTTTTCCTATGTAAGTCATCTTTGTGTAGCTACGCTCTCATTGCACACCTCCCATTTCAAAAGATACACAGCATTTTAATTTTACCCTTTTTGTACAGATCTAGTTCTTCATTTCCCCAAAGAACCTTTGCACTAAAGTTTAAAAAAAACATGGTTGAATGCCAACAGGAAAAATCTGTCAGCTCAATCCAGTAAGAACAATAGCACCAGGAACTTATCGCTCATTTATACACAAATATTTAATTACACAGAAAACCTTAGCATTAATTTTGTTTTCACAGGCATTCAGCTGCTGCATTTCATGTTACTGATCATTTGTAAAAAGAAAACAAATCTCTGAAATTGCAGGAATTCGAATTCAAAATTAAAATGTTAAATACCTGTCAGCTTTAAATCAGCTTAAGCCATGTAAATAAAGCTAAACCTGTTCCATACTGTCACAACATAATAAAAACTTATTCTAACTAAGATTCTTCTTTTGGTGGGAAAACGTGGACCAGAGATAATAACTGAGATAATAACGACCAGTATTCCCAGTAAGTCCTCTGCCTTCTGACGCTCCCTGTCCGGTAGTCGTAACCTAAGTTAACCAGATTTTTGTAGAGATAATCAATTTACAGAAGAATCGAGGAATTAGCAGCGCACAGATTTTTGCCGCCAGCCGTTGAAACACGAAGCTCACGTGCGGGTGAATGTAATGTTTCTGAAGATATATTTTAGTTTCCTCCATTTTGTTTTATTTCTTGAATTCAGTAGTTCTTCATTTTATTTTATTTTTGATTGTGTATTTGTCACATTTGCCTTTTGTATTCCAAATATACTGTAGTGTATCTGAACCTCTGTCATTCAAGCAACATGTACAACTATCAATCAAAAAAAAAACAACAAACCAAAAAGCTATGATTTATTACGTGCAATACTTTGTAGAGGACTTTTATGTTTCATGTTGTTTTTCCAGAAGGTGGTACTGACCTCTGAAATGAGATGATGATGCCTGTGAAATCTTGAAGAAGAAAATTTGATGAGTCAGGGTCCATTTGAAGTAAAACCCATCACAAACTGCTCTGCACTAAACCAAACTGAACCACTATTCCATCAGAGCGAGTGGTTTGAAATGCACTGAAAATGAAATGATGACTAAACTCTGTCAGTCCAAACCGAATTTCTTAGCAAAATGCTTTTTTTTTTTAACATTTTTTGTGACAGAGTAATAAGTTATGTGTTTGTGAGGGGTGTGAAACACTAACACTGCCACTAAGCCCACCGTGTTTGTACTTTCTTATCTCGGTACAGCCCTGTTGCTAAAAATCAAGCAGCTCTGCACAAGCAAAGCATTTCTGCACAGTCAGAAAGGTTTATGAACGTAACTTTCTTGGAGTAGTTTGGGTGCTTGTGGGAAGCCTGGCCTTCAGCAACAGAAGCAGTAACTCCAATAAAAACTAGATCACACCATCTCAGATGTGGGCTTTTTTTTAAACCTCACATGCGTTTTCTAAATTCTGCTTATTCAAACATTGCTATGTAAGTTCATGTCCACTCCACCAAACCTCTCAGCTTTGTCAAGGAAACTGAAAAAGCAAACTGCATCTACACAAGAACAGCTGCAATCACGTGAAAACATGAGCAGGATTCAGAATCTGATTGTCAGCGGCACAGATGCAACATCAGATGTGACCTTCGGGCTACATAGTGCTGACACATCTGTTTCATCACTGGCTGAGAAAGTAGAAAACTGGGTCTTCATTTCCCAACAATGTCCTTAATGCAAAGATAATCTTTGTTCGTTAGTTTGAAATTTGATAAAGCTGTTGACTCACTTAGAGAGCTCTGTTTCTGGAGTAACCTAATTCAGTTTACCACATTTGATTCAAGTTTTGACTTGCAAAGACAAGTTTCTAACAGAGAAGCAAGTGGCTGTAAAATCATCTTGCAGTTAAATAAATAATGATGATCACAGCGTTAAGGCCTCTGGGAAATGGAGTCCCACTCATCCCCCCCATCTTCTCTGTCCCATTCTGACCATGGTCTCCAGTGACTGTCTGTCCTGCACTGTACCTTGTACCAGCCCTGCCTGAGAATGTACATGAGGAAATGTTTTTTAAAACATTTTTAAAAAGAATTTGAGAGGTTTTATTTTTTATTTCTATGGCAGACCTGGAAGTTAGTAAAAATGTGTCTGAACAGATTTTTAAAAGGTGCAAAACGTTTTTATTTCTTAGAAATAAAATTAAGTCTGAGTTTTTTTTTGTCAGATTGATTGTTCAGTAGTTTACACACGTACACACACTGATTATTTCATTCAAGTTCAGTTTCCAGACTTGTGTACCTAAGTCCCCTGGACAACTTAATGAACTCTAATCCTACAAAGCCTCCCATACAAGATTTAAGGTGCTGGAGCCAAAGCAGGAGGCTGCATTCCAGAACATTTGCTGCTGCCAGTTGTTTTAAATTTGTGGCAGTGACTGAATAGGCTGAAAACAGCTCCATAACAACAATTACAACAGGGCCAAGTAAGATCACTGTCATCTGGCACCTGTTTATATGAGTATTATCTCAACACAAATGTCCTAGAACATACACATGTTGGTTGTTCTGGTCTATACTACAACTGAGTGTACTGCTGCGCTGATTAGAGATGAGGTGAAGAGGTTACATAAAATTTTTTGTTTCAGTAGAATTAAACACTAACTAGTTTTGGCTCTATGTTCACATACAGTATTTGGATTCTGCTGAAGGAGCAGTTATGGAGCCTTTGGACCATGAAAAGATATTTTATACTCAATGTGTAACACATCAACTCGTGTTGTGGTTGTATAAGGATCTTTTTACACAAACTCACTGCAGTGGATAAAATATGAGAAACACTTTTCAATATATTTATTTGCAGTACAACACCACCACTGTGTCTCCACAGTGGTGGACAGTATTAACAAGATTCATGAAAGGTTATTGCACTGATCTGATATAACTTGTGTGACAGTTTCTTTTCTGCTAACGTCTCTATTTATAGTCATTCTCAGTAGGTGTGAACTGTGAATGAGATGCTCTTGTCAGTGAAAGCTGAGGCACCTGTGTAAGGCTTTCTGCTTCACAGCAGACTGAGTCTGTGTTGGCTCTCACTTGTCCTTGCCAATATGGCGGATGTAACAGGCTTTCAGAGGAAACAGTAACAAGCAGTAATGTGAGAGAACAAGATATGTTAACAATACTAGGAGAACATAAGTAAAAACAATAAAAGAACAGGAATAATAAATATAGAAGAAGTAGTAGTAGTAGTAGTAGTGTTGTGCACTGTGAAGCGCTCTCTCTTTCTCTACCCTCGCGCGCGCGCTCGCTCGCTCTCTGAGTCGACCTGCGGTGGGCGTGTCCCTGATGAGCTGCAGCCCCGCAGGCGAGGAGCTTCTGTGATTGGTTGGTTTGAATGATTACCCAGGTGTCTGGTAAACGCTTCTTTCCTGGCGTCTCCGTGTTCAGGAAGTCACTGTCTTTTCCGTGATATCCAACAGACTTCGCCGTATTGGGAGCTAATGAGGTGAGTAACTACTTTCACCATGTAAAGAATATATTTTTCCACGGTAAAGGGCTTGTGTTGGCAGCCCAGGCCATGCTTACCTCCTACTGATAACAAGAGCCAAACAGAACAAACAAACCCTCTCACATTAGACTACATGCTCTAATGGCAGTAAGCAGGTCCTGTGAAGCAGCTGGAAACGCTTCAGTCATGGAACATTTTGACCCAAACATCCGTTTCACAACAGGGAAGTCAAGGCTCAGACATGCTGGTGATTAATAGGAGCTGGGCAGTGAGCTCAGCTAATGTTCCCAGACTTTAATTTTCCCTTAGTTAATGCTGGTTACATCACCCATACACCCACTGACAATTCCCATGAAAATATTTACAGGAGTGCAGCATAAAATGTCCCGTTTATCCTCCACAGCTCTTTGAGGCCCACGCACAAACTTTTGGTCCTTATTTGGCTTGATTTATTATTTAGCCCCGTTAAGTAATACACAAATACAGCCCTGTTTACTATGATGACTGCTCCCATGTGACCATTAAAAGCCACTAATTGGTTCAGGAAGAGCACAGAGGATGCTGGTGGTTTGAACTTGCTGATGAATAAAATGAATGTAAATGATGCTGTTGTGCTGCTGCAGTCTGGGCTTTAAATAACCGACACTCCAGAGAGCGACACACCGCTGACATTTCCATTCCCTGCCTGCCAGCTCCAAGAATAGACTTCAGTGCCCAGAGGTTTTTGTTCCATTTCGTTCTCATGACAGTTTTTTGGCCCTGACACAAAGCAGACGCAAAACAAACGTGTGGCTTTAAGATTTAGGTTTTGTGGTTTGACTGGATTTTTTTTTTTCTAGAGACCAAAATAGAAAGAGTCAAGAAATAGAAAGGCAGAAATAGCTGATGTGAAAAAAGTGGACACTGTTGATCACAGGACATTGTGGTTACTGTGTTGGAGGCTGTGAGACACCACTGATGCACTTTTTATTTTTGAGTTAGCAGATTGT